TTTTCCAACCGAGTGACTCTGTGATTCTGTGCAGCACTGTCTTCCAGGCTCCCTGCTTTTTAAGGAACCCTTGACCTCCTCATCTCCATTCATAATTTCAGACTGGCAGGGTGCTGCCTGGCTCTTGATCACAAGCCAAACAAAGCAAGTTCTGTACCAGGATGGATTCATTAGGAGTCTCCAACTTCTCTCTCAATGCTGCAGATCTGTGAGCACATGCACCTGGGGTTTTATTTGAAGGACAGGAAGTATCCGGGTTTTTTTCCAGATTCCACTCACTCAGTTTTCTGCATCAACTACATGCTACTGAGATAAGCAGCAACAGTGCTAAGTCAAAGCCAGTAACAGAGGAATAGTACGCTCAGCTAGACCAGCACAGCATTGTCACATGAAGTCACAAAACAAAGTGACAGATGCTGACCTCTGAAGGAAACAAGTCAGTGTTGCGAAGCACACACAAGAGCTCGGATTTGCTCAAATAAAAACTGAGTATTCTTTTACTCAATGTCAAAGTTCTGAGTATCTAAATTCTCAGACATGGAAAGTCTGAGTGGAGCACTGGGGAGGCCATACCACTGAGGAGGCCACATCTGGAGTCCTGGGTCCAGCTCTGGGACAGACTTTTAATGAAGGGCCATGACGATGATTAAGGAACTAAAGCATCTCTGTGAGGAAAGGCTGAGAGAGCTGGGGCTGTTCAGTCTGGAGAAGGCACAGGGGGAAACTCCTCAATGTGTACAAATATCTGGAGGGCAGGTGAAAAGATGACTGAACCAGGCTCTTTTCAGTGGGGCACAGTTACAATGGGCACAAACTGAAACACGGGAGGTTCCTCCTGAACACTGTGAATGTTACCAACCACTGGCACAGATTGCCCAGAGACATGGTAGAGTCTTCCTCCTTGGAGATACTAAAAAGCCATCTGGACACGCTCCTGGGCACCCAGCTCTAGGTGGCCTTATTGCAGGGGTTGACGAGATGACCTCCAGAGGTCCCTTCCACCCTCAGCCTTGCTGAGAGAGCACTGATATGGGAGGTAGGAGGGAGGCAGTGAGCTGGAACACTTGAACATAAAATTAAAAAAGAAGAGAGTATGTACAAAATTTCAGCACAAGAGCTAGCAGAGGCAGCCAAAACCCAGAGAGCTGCCTGTTGCATGTTTCAGCTAGACACAAAAAAAATGCAGACACGTTGTTAGACCCTACAAACCCAGCTTATAAAACACTGCTTTAACTTCTATAATGTTGCTTTTGCCTTGAGTTTTAAGTGTCTTTACGTGTTTTCTTGGATTGAAGCTCAAACTCATGCCCTTAGCACAGATGAAATGTGCTGAGATCAGACAATGTGGTGATTGATCAGTCCCATAACTCTGTGCAGGAATCCCTCTGATTAGCCCCTCTGATTGCTGATCTTTCAAATTCCAGTAAATTCAAATTAACATTTTAAACACTGTATATTTAATGCAGTGGAGCTTTCTTTATTAAATTATCAATTCATTTCAGAAACCTTTGTTTTAGAGCTTTGAGGTGAGTTGAAGAAGGGAGGTTTTCAGTCAGTGTGAGTGTGTAATTGGCCAAGGCTAGCACCGAGTATCAGTATTTGCACAGACTTGCTCTGTGCCTCAGTCCTATTAAACTCACCTGTGGTATCCCTGAACAGTCAAGAAAATATTTTCCTGCTTTATTATTCCATGGGATTAAGCTTCCAGACCTGTAGGCTACTATTATTTTCATCACCACTCACCGGTAGCTTGTGAATACACTTGCAAAAGTGTCCCCCCTGCCACTACAGCTGACAGTAAAGTACAGCTTAACTACTGAAGCCCAACTGGCAATTATTTATTCAGTATCTTATCCACCAAGGGGGCACAGCTGCTAGTAAGACAGCTGCTGTGCAGCAACTCCCTGAACCTCAGTAAATTTTAATCTGCATCTGCAACCCTCTTTGGGCTGTTGGACTAACCTAAAGGCATTAAAACAGTTCCTGCTACACACTAGTTAAGCTACTGTATCTTTGATAAAAACGGTGAAATAACATATGAGACTGAACATACTTACTAGACAGCTAACATAAATCTTACCAGCACAAGGCTAGAATACAGCCCCTGTGAATGCTGGGTGAGATCAGACAGCCAAGGAGGCAGAACAGGTATCTTCTGGATCCGTTTGTTTCAAATTCAACCACTTTGTCATACACAGCTCAAACCCAAGTGTGCAGCAGTAAGAGCAAGTCTTCCTTTCTCTTGCTCTCCAGATCTCCAGTGCATCAGCCTGGTGCAAGAAAGTGTCTGCAAGAGTCAGTGAGGACAAGGACAGTTCAAAAACTCCCAGACAGCCTCTGTACAACAGGATTCTGCATGTGAAGCCCACACTGAATACATGGCAAATCAGAATATGCAGTAGAATATCAAAGAGTTTAACTGCTCAGTGACCTGCACTGTATTTCCACCGTAAGAACTGCAGCTGCAGTTACAACAGAAGACTACACAGTGCTGCTTACCTGCAGAAGGCAGTGTCCTCAGTTTGGCCAGAAGTGAGATAAGCTCCTTAACAAGCCTGCTGCTCCAGTTTCCCATCTTGTGTGATAAATTGGATAGGGAAGCAGTTTTTAACTAAAGCTCTTAAGAGCTTTAAGAAAGCTTATAGAGGCAAGCAGAACAGTCTCTCAGATACCAGGAGCACTGCTGGCTAGTCAGTCACCAGCAAGGTGAAATCACTAGCAATTAAGAAATGTCTGCTAACACTCAGTTCAAACACCCCTGATGAAAGAGAGCAGGACTGTCTCTTAAATAATCCAAAGTCAACAGATTTTGCTGTTTAACAGGTGTTTAATATCAGTAATGTGGGAATCAACATCTCAGTGCACAATAGCACAGAGACTACAGTTTTGGAGGTTCTCCCGTTTCAGACACAAAAAGGAAACATAACGAAGAACATGCAATCAAACAATGATCAGCTCTAGATACATCATGAGGTTTGGTCCAAAAAAAACCCAAAAACCAACAAACCAAACATTGAAACAATTAATCCAATTACTGCAAACATAGGTTCTCTGAGTAAGGTTATAATATTGCATTTGTAGTGTTTCCATTGCGCTCTCCTTCAGCGAACCAGCGGAGCCTGCTTGAGTGAGATGAGGACTGAACGCATGCGGGATACATCTTTTGCCTGCTTACTAGACTTGGGATTAAAGTCACAGAGCTGAGCCACACGTTCCCACTCAGTGCCTGGAAAAATGTCTTCTGCATCATTCACAAAGGCTTCTTCAGCTGCCCTAAAAGCAATGTAATGCACCTTGCGTTAATGCCCAACATATAAGGCACTCCTTCCCTCTTACAGGATGCAGTTTCTTGCAGCAGGTTTTGTAAGAAATGTGACCTGATAGCTGCTTCTGGACATTATGGCTACTTAAGCCCCCACTGCCCCAACCCTGGAGATGAAAGTAGGTTGCAGTAGAATGCTATGCACAAGCAGTGCAGAGGATTGCTGTGTAAAATGTTGGAATACAGGTGTTTTTAAGGATAGTTACCGAGTCTTTGCCTAAGTAGTCACCACACACAACTAGACAGTAAAGTACTCCTATGTAGGCACTTTATTTACAGAGAAATGTCCAAGTCTTAACTAATTAAGTCTCTGCCACTTGATGGCTTATATTGGACACTTGCCAAATGGAAATTTGCAAGTCCCTGCAAGTATGTCTTAAAACAGATTCCATTTGAGGATTTAAATCAGGCCCAAGCCCCATAGGCCATCTTTAAGCTACCTGCTGATGACTCCCAATGCTGTAGTGAAGCACCATGAATCAAAAGGAATTTAAACCATGAAACCCACACTTGTGGGTGCTACGGACTAAAGCACATCTTGCAGAGGGTATGACTCATCTGAGGTCAGCTCACAGGACGAACACATTTCCTCTGCTCTCACCCTAAGGAGACTCTGAGCGGGCTTTGTACATTATGTACGAGTTGGTGCCAGTGGCGTCCCAGCCGCATTCTTTTGGCATTGCTATGCTGCCAACAGCATTGCTTCAATGCATGCATAACACTCCAGCACCTAGTTTTTTTGAGCCTAGTTTATGTGGCCCTGGTAGCTGCCTGAGTGCAAGAGCAGTAAGCATCAAGAGATCAAACCAAATCCATCTACTCCAACAAGCAGTACAGAAAAAGCAGTGAAGATGACTCTCCCATGAGGATTCAGCACTGTTCACAGGGATGATAAGGTTACAGACACCACTGAAGACAAGGGTCACTACAACACTGCTACTTTATGTGACATGACACTTTTAAGGGGCAGTGAAGATTTTTTACTTAACTGTTCTAGGCTGTAGCAAGGATGGTTTATGTTTGTGCTTAAAGGTGAAGAGAAGAAAAGAAAAAAGGAAAGTTTAAGTCAGATACAGAAAATGAGAATGAGTTTAATGCAGATGATCAGCTGGCTGAACATGCACTAGTAGCTTAACTTATATTCAGGAAACAGGCTGCCAATTTTATTCTGCAGCATTTATACTGCACATTTGCATGTGATATACGAAAGCAAGGGTTTTGCTGGAAAAACTTATCAAAATCAACTCCAGGAGACTTCAGAAAAGTCAAACACCACCTGTAAATCCATCATTTTACAAGTCTTGGTTTACATCCACCTACAGTTTGGTAATGAACTCCACACTGGACCTTCAATATTAACGCACTCAAAGCCACACCATCGCTCACTAATACACCTTCTAAAAGTATCACCTTAGAATCTGTGACATGGCCATCTTTCAGTTCAAGTCTACAAATTAAGGGAAGAAATTAAAACACTTGAACAAGCCAATGAACATTGCAATCCTTCCACCCCATGGAAATAAGCATACTCATTGGGGTTTGAAAGTCATGGTTGTATTCTCATTACTCTATTAGGCTGGCAAAATCTCTACACAGAGCTGCTCATAAATGTTCTCCCAGCAGTTAATGCCGATTTTTTCAGTACTACCTTCTTGCACTTTTCATCTGTTTGCTATCAGCATCCTAATTCTATATGCACACACCTCTTCTACCCTGATTTTTTGGCAGGCAATTTCTTTCCACATTCCTTGGCTTGCAGAGCTTTATGTGCAAGCATTGGTTGAATATTTTTCTGATTATGTAGGCAAATGAGCACAGATCAGGAGCTCAAAGCCTATTACAGAGAATACAGAGTTAAACATTGTGCTTCTCTGTGGAAGTGACTAGGAATAAATACAGCAGCCAAATAACGCTACAGACACTAACCCACATAACCAGAATCTTGCTAAGCAGTGTTCACTGGCCTGGAAACAACTGCAAACCCCTGCATTTAAAGACTACTGAGGTCATTACCAAAATTCCAGTGGTATGTACACTACATGACTTAACCTCAAATTGCTGGATGTTGTGCAGTGCATGGGATCCTTACAGGAAAACTGCAGATCAGAGTCAGTCCAAATAGTAAAGACTATTTACTTATATTAGCTTATACTGCCCTGAAATATTCAGAAGTCACCTCCAGACATTCAGCACTACTTCTGATCCTCCTCATTACCTAGTTGACTAGCAAACAGAATTGGTAGTTAGACAACATACACATAACCAATCACGTCAGCGAAGGGTTGTTTGTAGAAAGCTTCATCTGCCACCCTAGGTAGCAAGTAGTCCAACAGGCAGGTAAGCAGGCAGGAGAAAAGAGATAAGGATGAGAAGTACGAAACATAGCTGAAGGCAGTTTTAACAAGCACGTTAACCTTGTATCACCTAGACTTACTCTAACAGGAAAGCAGCTACCACACAGAATGTATCAATTAAGCCACTGACTCAGGGCAAGGGCAACACAAAAGCTCTGCTACATCCTAGAAATCGGGACCAGCTACTTTAGGATTACAGTTGCAGTGTTAGAATTTGGCTACTTCCAGGGGACAGAAACTACTATTAGGAGAGATCTCACCAGGCTGGTAAGAATGCCAAACACTCCTCCTCTGCACACTTGTTAAATGGACCCTGCTCCAGAAGGCATACCCTGCACTCAAACAGTGGCCACAATAAAGCTATGGGGCTATCATAGATGAGTGCAAATACTGTTTCCCTTTCTTGGCCCAACCAAAAGACTATCTCAGTGAACAGAAGTGTCAAATCTGTAATTTAGTAGGCAGTGTAAGCCTCCTTTCTTCTTTAGTAAGAAGTAGAATCTACCCAGGACTCTACTTAAGACAATCCTGCTGGCCATTTTGATTAGAAAAATGGTGTTTAAAAAAAACCAAACAAAACCAAACAGTTCCTCTTCAAGACTGTGGGTTCCCAAAACATAAAGCAACTCTGCCAATTACCTGGACAGAATGACATTGGCAACCCTAGGTCAGAAGTAGAGATCTAAGTGAATTAAGCCAGTACTACCATATTTACCTTTACATAGTCTGAAGTCAAAATTCCACAGGGAACCTCTAAGAAAGTGTAAGAGCTTACTAGACTAGCAGTCATGTAATTAGTTTCTGCCCCAGGAGCCATTAATTTGTCTAATTTAATGAGACCATTAAAACTCAGCAGAGACACAGTCAGTATTTAGTTCTTCACTTAGCAGAACTGAGTGTGGTTATTTCTCAAAAACTTCCAAAAGGAGCAGTGAAAGGTTTTGAGATACCTAATAAAATAACTTGTAGCAGACTAACTAGAAGGCCACTTCCCCGTGTTCTAAAGATAACAAGTAAGATTGCTAGTCTCAAAGTAGGCAATTAGTCAGTGAAGAGCTGTGTAATCAGCAGCATCCAAAAGAGTGGGTAGACTAAAACTTTTTTTGGCCACATTCAAACTTTGTGTCTTAAGGAATCTTCAGTAATTCCTGTTCATTACCTTAATGCTTTCTCTTGCTATTCTTCAACATTTAATCTAGATTCCACAAAAACTTAAAAAAATAATCTGCCCCTGGAGACCCATTTCCAGAGAGGTTATTTTAATGATCTGAAGGACTAGTGCCTTAGGACATAAAAGAAGTGTTCTAACATCTCTCCCCCATTATTTCCATAGCCAGTACCGTAACTCTTCAGACAGCTGGAGAAACCTTAACCTTACCTGTTGCTCGCTTTTGTTTTCTGGAGCTTTTCATCTTGCCTGGCATACCATTCCTCCAGCTCCTTTATTGCTTTCTCTTTCCACTCTGCTTCCTGCTTTCGCGAGTTCGCATCTGAAGATTTAAGAATTGGTTTGTCAGTCATATTTGTTCCAGTTGGATCTTGCTATCATTTCAGCTGATGGCTCAGGGTGCACTCTAGAGTGCAGACAGTTCCTTGACCTACTCAGATAAGCGTTAGGAGATTTTGCTGACATAGGGCAGTCACCTTGTTATGCTAGTGCTAGAACAACGCTCAGTAAAGCCTCTGTGCTTAGACAAAGTAAGGGAGCCTGGCACTCACCATGCTTTCACACCCACAGTTCAGGACCAGATCATTGGCTGAAACTAGCGCAGAAGAGAAGCACCAGGCTCAGCTCTACCCAAAATCATGTTGTACAGAAGGTTCTGTCCTAACAATTTCAAACAAAGCCTCCTCCCTAATGTAAGTGGAAAGCATCCCAGTTTGTAGGCTCTTAGAAGCTGTCCACAGGTAGGCATCGCTGCATTTGATAGCTGTATTTAGTTCAGTTAGGAGTCCATTACTTAACTTCGTTATTAGATTAAGACCTGTGTGACAACAGATGGCCTCAGCAATTACCAAATGAACACTTATTATCCTTTGAAAAAAGTGCTGATGGCTGCAGTATTTATTCACTCTCCTCTACTGTTAAAAGCTGTTCATCTTCTGTCAGCTTATCTGTAAGTAAAGGGGAGGCCACAGGAATACTCTTAAGGTTCAGAGAGCCACTTGCTTGCTGACTCCTATACCAGTATTAAATTTGCTTACTGGAAGACTCATCCAAACTTGCTGCTCAAACTCAAGAAGCGTGTTAGATTCCAAGGAGCCATAAGCCACAGCTGAGAATTTTGCTGCTTAAGAAGCTGCCACTAAGTGACTCACAAGCAAGAACACTACTGCAACAAACACCCTCCTTACCAAGTTGCTCCAGGCGCTCCTTTTGCTCCTCTCTCCACTTACGAATACTCTCTGGTTCTGACTGCAGTCGATCTGCTTGGGATATGGCAGTACAGAAGTTTGTTGGACCATTAGCCTCCTTAATAGGAAGGAAAAATAATGTCAATTATACATGACAACTGAGTTTTTCATATAATTGCCTGCAAACTACATAAGACCATTTGAACTAAGCACATAACACATCCATCTGACGTTGTACTGTATTTCCACCATTACCATGAAAAACAAACTTGCCACAAATTACAGCAGTATTGAAGCAAATTAATAAAGGACTGTCTCCAGCAGTCAGAGATCAAAGACAAATTCAAGCTGACTAGGAAGTCAAACTGTACCAGAGCTCCATGCCTGAAGAAAGCAGAAGACAATGCCTAGCACCTCACTACGCAGTTGTGGGCCTAGAGATCCTCCCATTCATTTCACCTTAAGTAAGTGACAGTGGGGGTTTTTTTGTTTGTTTACTTTTTTACAGTTTTACGCACAGGAGTTTAAAATGCCATTTGTCTGCCTCAGAGACATACGCAAAATTAACTGATACTAAAACCCAATGTATTTTAAAGACATTACATTTTATACAAATTACAACTTGGATTGCTATATGCAGCTTAGAACACAAGAGGCATTTCAACATTTAAGTACCCAAATAGCGTGAGTACTAGCATACTTTCTACTATACAACAGCTCAAAGACTTGCAATGAGTAGGGCTGTCATTAATACACCAGATTCACAAAGCTAATAAATCCTGTGCTATTTGCCACAGAGGAAATGTCAAGTTCAACAACATTTATTGGTTCACTCTACTCTTAACAGACCTAAGAAATACCTCTCTTGACAGTACAAGATGGATTGCAGCTAATGACAGATTTGACTGCATCCTGCCCCTCTCTGGACCTCCTCAGTGAAGGAATAATGCAAAGAGAAGGAGCCAGGCTGGTGCAACAACACCAAGCTTCGTATTTAATCCAAAATAAAATATATTGGCCAGTTGCAGGGCCAAACTACTTACAGGTAGCTAAAACAAATGTTACCTATAGATCATTCAGTCCATTCTTCCTCATTAAGAGGAAGCTCTATAAACCAAGGCAGCTGGTCAGTCAATATTAAAAACAAAATCAAGATATTTAATCTACTTTCTGTTGTATAAGGAAGCACAAAGGGACAGTAAGACACAGTTTTCCCATCAATGTTACAGCAATGGTGAGGGTATGAAAATGTTAGCAGCAGTGGAAGCTGTTTGTATCCGCACAAAGCTCAGTGTTCACTCAAAACTCTACAAAGAAAGTAGAGCATATGCTACCCCCTTCCCACACATTTCCTTAATCAGGGCTATCCAGCCAGCTCTGATATCAGGCGATGACAGCGTTGTTAGCCACGTAGCAAGTCACTGTTCAGTCTGCTTATGGCTATTATGTCCTATTAAGCCATAATTCAAAATGGACTGCTGCTTTAAGTTACCTCTAAGTTCAGAGGATGGGCATATTAAGAGCATTAACAGCTTTATGAGAAGAGCTATCAGAACAGAAGTTCCTCTTCAAAGATGAAAGTATATTAGAGACAAGAAATGGGAAGTATTAGTCTAGATTAAAGTTCTCAGATTAGAGTAGCACATTCTAAATACAGAATACTTCTGTCTTACCTGATGGACATCTCCATTAACCACTGCATCAACAGGATCTGTAAAGAAGTGATTGTAGCTTAGCCATTTGAAAAAAGACAGACCAGACAGACTTACTGATTTCAGTAACTAGTATGGAAAGCTTTACTAGAGTATCTAATGCAGGAGTTATGCAAATGATTGTTGACTGATACCCTGCAGGGTCACTTCCTTATATCTGCACTTCTCCAGACAGGCACAAGAGACCAAGTAAGCCATTACTCTGCAGAACCAGTATTACAAGCTCATCTCTACATCGTGGGATCATGCTTCAGCCAACATAAACAGCAGCACTGATACTGCTGAGAAGCTGCTATGGTGTTCTGCAGTTACTCCCACTTTCTCCTCCCTGTCTTTATAGCTGACTACTAGACAACTGTTCAGAAGTTAAGAAGTCTGACTCACACTCTTCTGGTCTCTACTTGGAAGATTAACAATTCTGCAGCCAACACTTAATAATTCTTACCCTGGTTTGGTTACCTCCTAATTCCTAATCACATCAAAAGGTATAGCTGATATTCCTAGCGAAGTCACCTTTGCTACCCTCTGTGATGACATGTTTGATAGCTTTCTACTTCAGCTGCAGCATTATCTCCTCTGAAGTTACATAGACAGTAGAGCCCCAGCAATAGGATTAGCTAGGAATTTTTGCCAGAGAACCCTAAAATTTCACCTTATTAAAACACAGCCACAGGGAACACATGTCAGCTACAAGACAAACATCTGAGTTGCTGATGCTACTTAAATCTCCAGACTATGCAAAACACCAAGATTTATCAAGAACTTTTAAACCTCAGCAAGGCTTCTTTCTGGAACAGGGCTAACATCTGCCTGCATGATATAACAAGTCATGGTTCAGACAGTTGTTCTCTCACCCGATGACTCCTCCTCACCCAGGGAGAGGAACTGGGAAATGGAAAATGGAAATGAGACCCATGGGTTGAAATAAAACAGATTTAATACTACTATTACTAATAATAATCATCATCCCAATATTAGTAACAGTATCACTATAAAGTACACAGTTATATTCAGCTGATATAGTGGGGAAGTAGGCCTCAAGGGCAGGATGGCAGACGAAACTCTCTTGGTATGACAGCCATAAAAAAAAACCAAACAAAAAACAGGACCATCCTCAGCAAACTCCTCAGTTTATAGCGAGCATGACATTTATGGTATGGAATAATTTTCTCTGGCCAGCTTGGAGTCAACTGCCCCAGGTTTCCACTCCCACCAGCTCCTGCACCTGTTAATCTCAAGACTGCTAAAGACCTTGATCATCACATACCAGTGCTGGCTGAAAAGTAAAACAAAGTGCCTTACCACTTTCTTCTCATGAAATCAAGTATCATAGTCCTTACAGAAATACAGCTTTCTGAACAGAAAGCTGATTCTGTGATTCTACCCCAGTGAAACCAGGACATCATGTTACTACTCGTTACACAGAAGTGTTTCTGTCATGTTAATAAACTCTTCAATGAAAGAAGAGACCGTACCAGTCACCCAACAGTAAGCAGAAAACAAAGTTATTTTGCACCGGCTTCTAAAATAAGATAAGTTATTCACCTAAAACTAAGAGCATTATGCTGCTGTGTCCTCTATTTCTTTTTGGTTATGTATATATGTCTCAGTTTCACTCTAGTGTTAATGGCATACAGGAAGCTCTTCATACTCATTTATGAGGCAACTAGGCAAATACTAAGTCCTTGTCCCTAAGACCTGAATAGCAATCATTAACTCTATTAGGCAGAGAAGTATAAAGTCATCAGTTCAAACATGGTACCTAAGTTGGAAGATTGTTTCCAAGAACATAGTTACCAGCTTTCTAGTAGGGGAAGACTCAAGCTAACAAAAACTAGCTTTTTAGTTATGAGAATCAAGTATTTTATAACTACTACTATATCTGAAAGATGGTAGCTACTTTGTCTGATTGCTACTCCTCTGCAAGTTACAGCAGCCAAAAAGGTGCTAACAGCACCCATCTGCTTCACAGCAGCTACCCTGTGCATCACTTAACATTGATCTGGAAGCTCCCTCAAAGCAGACTGGTAGAGATGACTGCACATACACTGACTTGGGCAGTTACAGCTACCATTAATAGTTCTACTAAATAGGTTTATGAAGACTAAAGCCCACAAAGAAAACATGCTTACACTTCACTATTTTTCAATTTAAGCCCTTCATCATTATATATGTGTGTTGCAGCTTGTTTTGACAGGGCTGGGATTAACGCTAAGCCAGGGTTTATAACTTGTACTGACATTTATGTCTTGAATAAGCCAGCTGCCCACTCTGCCTACCTTGGAAGGCCAAAGAGCAATTCACACATTCAGAAAATCAAACTGGAGACACAAGTTTATGGCTACAACATCCAAGACAGGCTAGCCTTTAAATATATATAGTTCTCATCTCTGGAGGGAAGGCTGTTGTGTCATGAGAGATGCCTTGGGAAGCACTGACTCACCAGTTAGGCGAGAGGGCTAGTAACTCTTGAAGATTCTTCCAAGAACTGTGGTAACATGATTAAGTTCTCTTCTTATACCAAAAAACATTCATTAAGGTCTTTAGTACTCAGGCTAGTAGTCTGCTGAGATAAAAGGAACATCACTGTTGAGGGCTGCAGCTGAGATAAAACAGATGTTTGTTTCAGGGCTCCTTTTCTTCTGCACAGAAACAGACACTAATTGGTACAGAGCTAAGTGTTCCCAGAGGGCACTCAGGTCAGAGGCATTAAAAGCACTAAAACAAACTTCCCATATGTTTTAGCTCCCTAAAACTTGTGATTAAGATGCAGAGTCAGCATGCTGACTGAGCATACTGCAAGCAGAAGAGGAAACGGCAGTGTACCAGCATGCTGTCATATGCCTACACAAGTATGCTAACTGGAACCAGACCAATAGTCAAACATCCTCTCATGTCAGCTCTTCAGTCTCAGCATTTGTATTTTCAATATGAAGTCTAGAAAAACCATCTGCTTGCCAGCCTTTATATTAGTAATCAATGCTAGTTGTGTATCAGAAAAATGTCATTCCATACCTGAATTCCCACAGAAAAAGCCTAAATACTGTTACTGCTATCATCATGTTTTCATCTGCCATGAAAAAGTCAGAGTCCATCCAATACTGTCACCGTACTGTATCTTGAAGATCCTGGAAATAACACTGCACATTTAGAAGTATTCTAATTAATAATGATCCATATTCCTTGATGCTTGCCTCTGAACATAAGATAAGGCTTTATTTCTAAGGACACTGTTGCAAAGAATGTCCAAATACCCACAGTTCTGTAACACGTGCTGATATTAGGGTAATAATGAACTTCCACACAGCAACCCAGATAGTTTTTAGAGCCTGGAAGGGTTTGGAGAGGATAAACCATATAAGCCACCTTGCATTCACAGCAGAGAAACAAGAGCCAAGCTTGCCAGAGACAGCTGGAATCAGTGCCCTCCACACATTGTCGTGGTTTAGGGCTGGGCTGGCCACTAAATCCTGGACAGATGCTCTCTGTCAACCCCTCTGCCCTCCCCAGAAGGGAAGAGAAAAGAGAATAAGGGAGAGAGACTTTACGGGTTGGAAAATAAAACTCACAGGCTTTATAAAACAATAATGCTAACACTGCAGGATAACAATGTAAATAGGTAAATAATGAAATATATACAGATATGTACAAATATACATATAAAACCGATATAAAATCCTCCCCCCACCCTCCCCCAATGACGAATATGTCACCAGAGGCTCTGTGGAGCCGGGCACTGGGAAAGTCCCAGATCGAACCCAGCAGCAGTGGGAGCTGATGCAGGAACACAGGGATCAGGATCAGAGGCAGACAGGGTACAGGGTCTGCTCAGACTTTGGCCTCTGCAGGATCGAGACAGACGGAAGGGTCCGAGCTGGAAGGGCTCCAAGATGGAGCAAGGGTCGAGACCCTCGTGATCCCTCAGCTTTATACCGAGTGTGATGTATGTGGGATGGAATACCTCGTTGGTCAGTTTTGGGTCCATTCCTCCCCCCAGGCGCAGACACGGCACTCGTGGTGAGACAACTGGCCTTGAGATTATCAGTTGTAGCAGCGCTGTTTGGGAAAACATGCTGCCAGTTTTCAGCAAGTTCAGCCACTTAAGAGAGACTGAGCTGAAAAGTAAAATCACTAAATAGAAAATTAGTTCTATTTAGCTCAAACCAGGACACATATACTACTGCTTACAAAAGAAAGGGTTGGGTGGCTTGAGTGTAAATACAACAGTTTTGTCATTTCAGTCCTACAGGTCAATGTAAGGCTTCAGAAGCTTAGTCACAGTGATGATCAACTACTTGCATTAATACCAGATTCAGTACTGTTTGGCATAAGAGGAAGTTTGCTTAGCCTTGTTCACCAGTCTCTCTGAAGTCCTACTCTCAATCCAAAAGAAGGCTATCAGAATAGTCAGAGGCGGAACTCTGCAGCAGTAGCTTTTCTAATAAAAGACCAACCATTTCCTAACGCATGGATTAGTTCTTCCTGAGGTCTTCCTACCCTGCTACACTGTGGACAATATCCTGATGCAGGAAAAATTAACTTCAATATGACCATACATGAAAACATTTTTTACGAGCTCCTTTCAGCATCTCTTCTAAACAGTATGTACTCTACCTCTTCATTGCTACTTTGAGTGAACCAGTAGCTACAGTTAAAGCAACAGAAGAACACAACCAAATTTAATATATGCTGGTGTAAGGTTAGTTAACTTGACCACTCAAGGCCTGGTTGCCCATCTTTTTCTTATGGGCATAGATCATGCTTCCCCTTCACCTATCTCTCATCCATAAGAGGATGAGAAAGAAGAATCTTCTCTGAATATTGTTTAGATAGATATGCAAGAAACCGAGGAACAAAGTTTTCCTAGCCATAACTCATTCTTATGCCTGTGTGCAAAATAAAGGCAAGCATGTCAAGAAGAGTGCTTCTTCCCTCTTAGTTCTAACCAAACCACATTAGATTTCCCTCATTTTCAACATAATCAGTAGGCTAATACTAG